ACATATTGTTTATTTATTATATATATATATATATATAGATGAATCGATTTGTCATCTTTTCCATCTTATCTTAGGCCCGTTCTGAAGTATGGATTGGCGCCTGGGTGCGTAATGTCTACACTTTCTGAAACTACATTGAGAGCCTGCAGAACAATGTAAACAGCTACGTTGAGTGGAAGTAAATATTTTAACAACGCTAATAAATGATCTTCTTGACATTGCCGATTTCGTACATTTTAAATAGTCTGTTATCTACAAGCGATAACTTGCTCATTACTCACGCACGTTTAGTATTCGTACAGAAATGAGCTTTCATTTTGTATTGCTTGCTTCATCTGTTCACAACAACAACAAGTTGTACGGATCCTATCTGGGATTTTATTTTGACTTGGACACTCATCCGAGTTCCCCTGAGGATATAAGAAAACTCACAAGACTTAGTTATAGGTGTAGTGCCTTTATTTATAGTAGTTGATGTGGTGCGAATTCTATATCACTGATGTAACCACCAGAAGGGGGAGATGAGCGAAAAGTAGTTACTCAATCAAAACAGAACGTGTAAATTCCGGTGCAACATGCGGCCCATGCTGAGCAGCGTTCAGGCGCCGGAAGCTCTCAAGGTCATTTTCAACGAGTCCAGTCACATCGTTCGGCTGTTCAACATGTGGATTTTGTATCTGCGTAAGAAAACGGCAACAATAAGGTCAGCTCGCTATACATATAAAAACCAAATTTTTATTTGCCATGATAGAGCCACGCTCGCTATCATAATAGAGGCACCAAGATAATACGCTACTAATGGGTCTACGAAAAGTATGACTTACCACACGCAGTGCGCCGCCAAGCTTTACGTTGTCGGCAATTAGCCGACCTACTTCGCCTCTTAGCTTCCTGATGTCAGCATCATACTCGTTCTTGGCCGCGTCAGGTCTGCCCTTCTCCGACTTGCAGCCTTTGCTCGATGCCACAGGGCCTTGGTTGGTGTTACGGAATGCACAGCTGTTCGCCGGGCGGGAGTTCACCTTATTTCCCTCGCCCTGAAGAATAGCGTGGGCCTTGGGAGCCATGAGCAGCAAGAGCGTGATAGTCACGGGCAGATACACGAACAAGAATATCATAATAAGCTGAGTGTCTTTGTCGTGTGTCATGATGTGGGCTAGCGTCCACAGGATCGTTTGTATCACCACCCAATTGTATACACTAGCCGACAGTAGCGCCGACTCGTTGAATGTTGACGGAACATTCCTGACTCTGAACGCCAGGACTACGGCCCAGATGAGGAGTGCACCCTGCATTATATACCCTACGTACATACCGGTGGAATTTAGATTACAGGCTAGATATGTTACATGGCCGGCCTTCTCCTGAATGGCGCTCATGCCATCGAAGATGGTCCAGAATATCAAATATAAAAAGAAGCACACCACAATGGGTGTGTACATGTACTTTAGCAGTGCCAGGTCGTGCAAATGGGCTTTTCGAGCGACCTTGAAGACCTCATCCACCCGATGCGTTTTGACGAGCAACCCGGTGAAACACATGGACCAGCCCATGTACATAAACCATACGAATCCGTTACAAGTAGTGTCGCTAATCTCCACAATAAGCCACAGCATTGAGGCGTACAGTAGTATCCCTCCGCCGAGGATGATTTGTAAAAACATTTCCGCACTGGACTGGATAATGAGGTACTCGCTCGTTTTGTTCACGCATACTAATCCGACCAAGCATCCGATGATTGCCAAACTGCACAGGACCCCGATAATGATGCGCCAAGTGCTGCTCTGTACCTCGTCATGGCGGTCAGGAAAACCGGCCGGTCTCTCAGGGTTCACGTCAGTGGACTCGATGGCCTCGTAGGCGCCATTGTCGCTTAATATTGAGAAGACAAACTCCCTGTTGGCCTGATTGTTGACGAAGGTTGCACTTCCAAACCATGTCTCAACATCCAAGTGTTCACTCCCCAGTGCATTGCACTGTGTTTGATTAGGTGCCCCTATATCGGCACATGAGGCGTATATGCCTCGTCTGAAGCATTCTACGAAGTCGTTGCTAGTAGTATCGCAGTTCCCCCGGACAGTTGCCATTTGGATATTCTGCACCGCGATCAAGGTAGACCCTACAGAAATGGGTTATTTGAAAGAAGTTCCATTACTACAGGCGCTTTAAATATATATATGCGAGGATCGATAGGAAAACAGGACTGGCGAATTCCTAGCATGACCATACCTGATAGGAAATTAAGCTCAAGGCCTTCATCACGGTAGATGTTGGTTTCATCATACTGCTGAACCAGCGCTTTTTTCTCTCCGAGGAAACCTGCTATTGGCTTGGCGTCAGACACATCATTTGTGGAGGTGAAGGCATCGTTGATGATAAGACCTCGATATAACTTGGTGTCAGCAATTGCCGCCCGCTGCGCACTAGGAATTGCGGACGAGATGAGAATAACCTTTGGACCGAAACTCAGCTCGTGAAGATGTTTGAGCGTTACGTCAGGCGATCCTTCAATGGCATCGACCGCGTAGACGAGGACATCTGCAAAGGAGGACGGAGAAAGATCAGTATATACTACTTTACTTTTCGTAATTAGGTCGGTCCGAGTGTGGATGCAATATACACAGATTCCTTACCTGGTGATGGATCATGGGGCTCGGCTCGCTGTGCGTTTTCGTAAACATCATCAACAAACTTGTCGTAAAAGTCGTTGGCCTTGTTGTCGTCAGTGTCGCCGTCGAACAGGCCACTGGGTGTAGTAGCATCGGCTAAGACCGTCCAGTTGCGAGAGGAGTTCGATTCCAGGTAGGCGTAAAAAGACCTCCGGTATAGGCCACCAACCGAAGTATCATCCTCTGTGTAAATAAATAATAGAATGGTTTAGGGTGGAGAACCATATATCTGATATAGAATCCGAATCCAGTATCAAGGACAAATTTACACGTGGCGAAAAGGTCAGTCATCGGGATGGAGACCCCTACAGGAACATACCATACAAGAATGCGACTGTGCGGAAGCCGTGAGTGTCATATAAATTGTCGAGTATCCCTGATATTGCATTTGTATTCACAGGATACGTGCTGTAGAAGTTAGGATATACTGTTGAGTTATATAAAGAAAAGTCGGAGCTTGTTGGTGCCAACACAGGTACACTTATTATTTCCTTCCGCAACGGTGCGATTCCTATCCTTGTGGCAGTGTTCCTTCTTAGTGTGGCATTGAACATCATATCGCGGAAGCGTTTGCCTCTATATGATGTTGAGCCTGTAATAAATACGTCGCAATCTTCGTTGGTTTCAGATGCTTCCAGGGCTCGCAATAAATATTCCTCTTGTATCTCCTCATTATAGATTGCCTTGTTCTCGTCGCCATCGCCAACAACAGGCACCGCCGCACCGTTTCCGCCTTCTAGGTAACCTGAACCTACGTGTCGAAATTGAACATCGTAAGTAGTGCTCCCCACAACCCAAGGGTTATAACTATGTAGCGTTTTGTTATAGTAGACAATGGCTGCGTGGTTTTGACCATCGTAATTCTCGTATTTTGACCCCGGACCATCATTAAAGTAGCAAATATGAAGTTTTACTGCAACGCTGTACTGCCAGAGAGCACACAGGATTATAAAATTTCGCATTGCAAATGCTGGAATTGCCTACGGTGGTAGTATGAAGCCTAGTGCTATGCAAGGGTGCGTTGAACAAAATTGTATATATACTTGCATTTAATGCCGAACAGTGAACAAACCTAACCATTCATGGCATTTAGTGACGCATTAGATTGAAAATCAACATATGGCAACAAATTTGAAACTGGACTAGGTAGATCTACATTCCATAAGAAATTTTCATGCCGGCCCCTCATCAGAATATGCTCTGACACCGGCCTCCCGTGAGTCCCGCCTGGACTAGATTGTGACAAATTTTAAGAGCCTAGGAGGACCATCACTGGGTGGTTTACTACCGTCCGAATCAATCTATAAAGAAAAAAAGGGCTTGTACTTCGAGTCATATTTAATTGCGATACTGCTACGTAAGTTGGAAAGCCTGGATGTACGAAAGTACAGGTCGACGAAATATATTTATTAAGTCTCAAGCGTTGCACATTTAATGCACTGAATACGGGTTATAAATTATTGTTTATTATTTGAGGTTTGTACTAGATAATGTTCGCTATTGCCCGGCTTTTTCATAAGTGGAGGATATGCTGTTCACTTCTTCCGATGCCGTTCCCCTTTTAAGAGTTTCTGTGGATTGCTGTCCGTTCGACGGCTCTATTTCATCCATGCTCGGGTGTAGAACCTATTTGTATTTATAGCCGTACAACATCGGATTATCGTCATGAATTATAATAGTAAAGCAAAAAAACATATTACGTCAAATGTATTTGTTTTTACAGAAATTGAGGCACTTAATATTGCCGCCTAATAAAAAATGCCAAATGTAATGATATGGATACACTATATGGTACTTTAGATATACATACCTGCTGTAACGCATGCGAAAGCTTCGTATTATCGTGCACGAGACGGCCAACTTCTGCTCGCAATTTCCTCACATCAGCCATGTGATCTTCGGGTGTCTCATCCGTAGAACCCTCAGTTTGCCGAACTGATTTTTGGCCAGCTGATGGCGAATTGCTTATGCCACTGATAATGCTACTGTTCACTGTGCGCGAGTTGATGTCATTTCCCTTACCTCGATAAATTGCCCAGGCCTTGGGCAACAACATCATAATGAGCATTGTAGTTACTGGAACGTATACATAGAGGAACATCAAGATGAGCTGTACATCCCGATCATGCTCCATGATAAACATGAGAACCAAGACCACTGCCTGGATGACTGTCCAGTTGTAAACACTGGCTGATATAAGCGCCGCCTCATTGAATGAGGAGGGCACATTTCTCACCCTGAATGCGAGTACGGCTGCCCATACCATCATAGCACCCTGCATTGTCTGCCCGAAATACATCCCAATAGACTGAATGTCACAGGTAAGATACGTCACCGACCCTGACCTCTCTTGAAGCGCTATAGGTGCATCGAAGGTTGTCCAGAGAATTAGGTACAGAAGAAAGGATGCAACAATGGGTGTGTACATCACCCTCAGTAAGGAAATATCATGAAGATGAGCTTTCCGAGCCACCTTGAAGACCTGGTCTACACGGTATGTCTTGACGAGCAGCGCAGTGAAGCAGATAGCCCAACCCAGGTACATAAACCAGGCAAATCCAACGCATGTTAAATCGTTGATCTGGACAATGAGCCACAGTAGAGAGGCATAGAGTATAATGGCGCCAAACAGAATGATCTGTAAGAACAGAGTTGCACTGGAACGAATCACGAGATATTTGTTTGTCCTCCGGACTCCGACGATGCCTACCAGACAACCCATTATTGCAAGTATGACGAGTACTCCGATAACTATGCGGAGTACCCCATTCTGCTCTTCATTGCGTCGATCTGGAAAGGTTGTCGGTCGTTCTCCAATTATTTCTGTAGTCTTGATCACGTGAAAATGACCGTCGCTGCCTAGCTTGCTATACACATACCCTCGATTCGCCTGGTTATTCCCGAATGTGGCACGTCCGAACCAAGTTTCTACGTCCAGCTTTTCTGGGCCGAGACTTGTGCACTGTGACATATTGGCTGGAGCGATGTCCGAGCAAGGATCATATACACCTTGTCTAAAGCATTCAGCCATATTCTTGGTCGTTTCGCAATTGCCTCTCACAGTAATCATCTGAATGTTTTGCAATGCGAACAGGGCACTTGCTGTATTCCAGAGAAAATAGGCATGTTGCATTTAGGCATTTGTGAGCAATATACAGATCAAACGGGATATGAAACGAAAGCGCATGAACGTGTGCGATAGCCTCCAATTTTGTAATTTTGCTCGCATAGTATCCCATTGACTAGGGCCACATTACAAATGTAAAATATTTACCTGATAAGTAGTTGAGGTCCCGAATTCCCTTTAAGAGTTGCACTTCGTTATAATGAGAGGTAAGAGCTTCCCTCTCCCCAAGATAACCCTTAATTGGGTTAGCAGAAGAAATATCCTCTCCAGCGACATAAATATCATTGATTATCATTCCGTGGTAAATATTTTGCTCTTCAAGCGCCTTCTGCTGTGCGACTGTGATTGGATGGACAAATATAATAACCTTCGGACCGAAGCTCAAATCCCATAAGTACTGTAGCGTCTCGTTTGGCCTGCCTTCACTGGCATCACCTGCATACACAAAAACATCTGAATAGGAGGTGACGTGCGAGTGAGTGAGTGTAATCTTTATATATGCCATATTAAAGAGCAAGGGCGTTCTGCAACTATAACCTAAAAGTACAAAAGTGAGAAGTTTGAAACAAACCTGGTGACGGATCATCGGGCTCTGCTATTTGTGCATTTCGGTATACATCATCTACAAAAGCAGAGTACCGAGATTTCGCCGTCGCCTGGTTGAACAGCAGGCCATCCGGTGTGTACATTCTGGACAAGACATTCCAGCTACGCTCCTTCTTTCCGATGTAATCTTCGAAGGAACGATTGTATAATCCTCCAAGACTCTTGTCATTCTCTAATGTCGTGCAATGCGTGAAAGGAAGAAATAGGGGGTTTTTTTTGAGAAGAACGACTATCGCGATGTTCTGCTCGATCATTGCAGTGCACACAGTTGTCACGCATATTAGATGTACATACCGTATATGTATGCAATAGTTCGGAAATTGTAGAGATCATATAATCTGTCTAGTACGCCCGAGATAGCATTGGTGGTCGCTGGGTAGCTGCCATAGAAATTAGGGAATTTTGCAGGATCGTAGAGCGAAAAGTCAGGGCTCGTGGGGGCCATAACCGGTGATGTGATCACTGGTTTACGCAACGGAGCAATCCCAAGTCGGTCGGCCGTTAAACTTCTCAAGGTCTCGTTGAACATCATATTTCGCATTCTCTCCCCTCTGTATGTAGTACTAGGGGTGATCCAGAAGTCACAGTCTTCTACGGCTTCGTGTTCCTCCAATGCACGTAATAGCCATTCCTCTTGAAGTCTCTCATTGTATGCTAACTTTTTTTCTTCGTCACCAATTACCAGTGGCGTCGCTGCACCATTTCCACCCTTCATGAATCCCGATTGAATATGACGAAGGATCACATTGTATGTAGTGCTACCCACGACCCACTTGTTTGTATCTTGAAGCGTTTTCCCATAGTAGTTGAGTGCTGCGTGGGCTTGATAATCATAGTACTCGTATTTGCTTCCCTTATTATCAAGAAAATAACAGACCGAGAGGCCTTGCTGTCCGCTACTAAGCTGCCAGAGTCCAAGGAAGATAACACTCTTCAATACATACATAATGTTCTTAAGGGAAAATTTTTACTATTCTAAATTTAACTATATTATGGCAAAATCCCCGCAATGGAAAATAACAAAAATTGGAAGCCTTTATAGACAAAGATTTCTCATATATATGTATATTCCTGTGAAAGATTCTTTTCAAAATCTACAAGTTCTCTCAATTGCTGTCAAAGTATCAATATATCGAACGTTTGTAACGTATTTACAGTGCCACTTTCTGAGGAATTGGGCAGCTGCCCGCCAGCTGGCATTCTGATTTCTCATTTCTGTCGGATCTAAAATAAAGATTTTGGAGATAATTCAGATTGGTTTTGCAAAAATAAATATATCTATGTTAGTTTGTTTTTCTATAGAGAAATTTATACTTTAAAAAAAGTCATAGCCTCCTAAAAAAGACATTTTTAAATATTTGAAAAAAAAGTATAATATTTAAATACATGCCATTCTTCTAAAGTATTGCTGACAGCCTGGGGCCCTGGGCCCTGACACTTGACAGGCTGACAGTCAGATGAAACACTATGACCAAAAGCAGTTAGGCTGGCTGCCTACGACGTCGACTCTAGTAGAGAGTCGACTACTAGCCAAGTCGGCGGGCAAGGCCCAAGCCCAAGCCCTAAGGCCCAACTCCCAAGTCCCACGGCCCAAGCCCTGTATTTGAAGCAATACCTTGGGCTGGGGGCCCCACGGCCCAGGACGGTAGGACACATGTAGGACACAGGTCCCAGACTTCCTGATTCGGGACTCCGGGGTCCCACCCTCCCAGCCAGGACCCAGAGCCTGAGAGCCAGCCATGAGCCAAGCGACTTTCTCTCAGACGGTGCCAACGAGCGAGAGAGAGACAGCCTGTTCTAGTGTTAAAAAATAAATATCGATCTCTCACTGTCACAGTGTCACTCAGTCTCGCGCAGTCTCGCTCTCGCTTTCTCTCTTTCTAAGAGTAGTGTAATATGAGTCTACTCTAGTAGAGAGGCTCTACCGCTCTACTAAATAATAGAGCGTGATACTATTTTAAAAAAATAAGTAAAGTCTTCAACAAACTCTACGACTATGTATTGTTTATTTTAGGATTTACTACTAGAGCTAGTAGAGAGTCCCCTTATTTGTTATCAGTTGTTGGCTATGATTATACGTATGACTTTGAATATAAATATTTTTGTGTTTTGTAAAAAAGGATATAAAACCAACACAAAATTTTGAATATAAAATATATTTTTAAAAAAACAAAAAGTTAAGGCCGACCGCACCGGTGACAAACCCCGTCCAACAAAATCGAATATTTTAATAAATTTTTGAGAAAACGTCCTCACCGGCAACAAAATCGGTCTCGATTTTTGAAAAGTGGTTTTTTAACGTTGTTTTGACAAAATCCAGGGTCTAACAAAATCCGAAACTATAAATATACTCTTCTCTGAGTGGCTTAAATTTCAAAACTTTGTCATGTATTTTTGACACTCGGACTCGGAGTCGGGACATAGGAGTCGACTGTCAAGAGTATTTGAACACTGTTGACTGAACAGTGAACACTGAAGTCTGAACAGTGGGTGACTGTCTGTATAGAGTTGTTAGACTGTCAATGGTTTTTAATAACTTATAGTGCAAACTGAAATACTGATACAGTGATACAGTGATACAACTGTAAAAAACAAACAAACAACAACCGTGAAGTCGTGAACACTGAACACTGAACACTTTTTATTTATTTTTTATAAAAAGAACAACACACGCCACAGTCCACACCGTGCCCACACGGCTTTTTACTTTTAACAAAAACCCGCTGTCACCGCCGTGAAAGAGTTTATATTTTCGAAAAACATCTTTTGTGGGCGTACTTTAGTTGTTTTTTAAAAACAAATACTATAAATAAATATTTTTGCACGGTCGCCACTCGCCAGTCGCCAGACATCGGGTGGTATTTTTACTGATAACTGATCATGAGCAAATATTTTAATAAAGAGTTAAAACGGAGGCTTTTGCGCAGGGCGATAGCATATTCAAGGATCCTGCTGCTATTTACATACTAATTCATTTTTTCATTTTTTTGTCGCCCGGTCCGACTCGACCTTTCAGCTTCAGGCTTTCGGGCTTCGGGCCTTCGGCTTTCAGCCAAACGCAGCTATTTTATATAAAAGTCCATGATTTTATTGATTATTTATTCGCCCAACAAATTGAAAATACTGCGAATAGGTCGTCGCCTTCACCGTGCCCATTGCTGCCGTCGCTACAATTCTATCTGCGAAGGATTTTCAAGCAGACCGACCGATGACAGTCGACAGAGCGACTCGTCATACCTGAATAGATTCAAATTGCTAGCAAAGTAGTGTCACAACGTGCCAGAAGTGTCGCTCATAAAAGGAACATAGGCGAACAAACACAACTATTTTGCCGCTTGCCAGCTTCTACTCACAGCTGATACTTGCTATCTAAAACCACAAAATCATGAGTGCTGCGATCACAGCTTCGCCTCTGGGCACTTCGGGTACTCGCTATCAGGATCCAGACATGGTAGTTATTAATCTCAAAAAAAGCACCACGATGGGTAATTTCGACGGAGCTGAGCTTGTTGACGTCAACGATGACGATCGCAAGTATGCTATGTACGAGCGTATTGTTAAAGCTATGCACGACCCTCACACGGGTGTCAAGCTAGGTCCCCGCAAAACCTTCATGAAAACCGTGCACTCCTGTTTCTCGGTATGGTGTATTTGATTATCTGCAGTGTCGCACGCTTATCATATACACACTTTAGCCCTGCATACACACACACACACACACACAACAACAATAACA